ACTGTGACAGTTCACGAGTCTGGCACTCAACTCATCGATCTGAAGGGCCAGACCAAGGCCTTTTTCCCAGCTGCTCCAAGTGGCACCGGAAAGCAGAGCTTCACGTCCGAGTATGAGATCATGCGCGGTGACTTTGTCCGCATTATATATGGGCTTACTGAGAAGCGCGAGAATGTGAAGCATCTCTTCAGCACAACCATCGACTCATTCACCCAAGACCCAGAGGACAATCCCACCGGCAAGGTTCACGTCAAGTTCTATGGTGGCCACAACGAGGCCTTTGATCTTGTTGTCGCTGCTGATGGAACTGGCTCAAGGACTCGAAAGCTCATGCTTGGTCCTGACGCTCCAGATCCACGACATCGGCTGGGAGGCAACATCGGCTTCTTCAGCGTCCCATCAAAACCCGGGGACTCAGACAGGATGACATTCTGCCATTTACCCGGAGCCAGCGTATCTCGCATCATTGGCACAAGAAAAGACTGCCCAGAACTTACTCGCGTGTATATGCAAATGCGGGGCAATGACCCTGGCCTCGATGCGGCACACAAGTCTGGAAATCTAGCAGAGCTCAAGAAGGCATGGAACGATTTGTATCAAGGCGGAGGATGGGAATGCGATCGGTTCATGAAGGCATTAAGAGATGGTCCCGAAGCCGATGATCTCTACTCTACGCCACTTGAAGAGGTCAGACTCCCAGAAGAATCTTGGTCCAAGGGCCGAGTTGTTCTTCTCGGCGATGCTGCCCACAGTCAGACAGCAAATGGCTTTGGATGCACATTCGCCTTGGTTGGAGCCTATATTCTCGCAGGCGAGATTGCCACTCTCTACAGGAAGGAAATGTTGTCTCCAACAGCAGCAGTGGTGCAGGGGGCCAAGAACTACGAGAAGAGGTATCGACCGATAGCCACTTCCAAGTATGGAGGAAATCAGCGGATCAAGGCCTTGATATCACCCAGGACGAGCTTTGGAATCTGGTGTCTGCATTCCTTTGCAAGGGTAGTATCGTACTTTCAGTTTGATCAGGGGGCTGGGTTGGATGCGAAGACATCGGCTTGGAAGCTTCCAGACTATCCAGAGCTAGAGGGGAGTGCAGTTGAAGTCAAGTGAGCAGTCGTTGGAGAGTCTTTTCTTTTGCCATAGATCTCCTCTCCCTCAAAGCCCCCCTCTCTAATGGAACACACGAGAGCAACACTAATGCCACTTCCCATTCCACAATATGCTTCATCAAGGGAGCTTGGGTACGTAACGTGAGGCGTGCGCAAAGGTCTCCTATACACGGAGCTCTATTTCTTTCGCATGGCAAGTTCCGTGGCCAAGTTCATCTCCCGCAATCACTGGACCGCGTTGGCTTCGAATCCGACAAGCGTGAAGTGTAAGCGGGCTTGGCCTAGGAACCGCAGCAAGGCAACAAGCGGAAGAATGGCCCCTATCTTTCAGGAGATGTCCCCAGAAGGTTTTGGCACTGAAGGCCTATTAATATTTGTTTTACGCAAAATCATATCATCGCACGCTTCTCTCTGAAAGCCTTGAATCACTTCCTTGTGACCCTTGTAGACTGGACATTCGATACTCTCGATAATGAAAGATTCCCCTCCCTGAACTAGAATTGTCTTTCGAGCCTGGTAAGCTGAGCGTGTCGTACTCCTGATGGGTTAACCCACGCTCTGAATCAAGGGGATCTTCCCTGGGACTTCTCGCTGCCTGTGCGAATTCTGGCGGGGGTTGAAAAGCAACACTGGGACGGCTGGCCGCGTAACTGTTTCCGGAGGAGAGGCCTGGGATGACCTTGCGGAAGATGGGTCTGAGCAGGGCAAGACAACCTGGGCAATGAGTTAGCAGCTATAATGCCTCAAAGGAGATGGCTGCTTACTTGTAAACACGGCCAAGTGAACCTCGACACTCCCCCAAATCATTGCTAGAGCAAACTCATACGGCAACTCTCTAGTTTGGGGGTTGTAGGTTTGTGACTCAATGATCTGAAAGATGGAAGCGATACCAACGCTGAGATATCATGTGAGCGGCCGGTCAGGCGGTGTAGTTGATAAGAGGACGTACAGAGATCCGAGGGCAAAGAGACCGAGGACGGCAATCTTTTGGCCAAAGGGTAGCCTCATTCTAATAATCTCCCATATAGGTAGAGCCAAAATGATGAAATCCATCAAACAATGTGTCAGGTCTGTTCCGAGATAGAACCTCGCGACGTGGGTAATGCAACGCGCATTCGTAATCGTCTTATCCCAGTAAGCCTGAACAGGGAGACAATGAAACGTGGTGAGAAACGTGCGCAAGGTGAGCCATATCCCACACATGACCATCAAGACGATGATGGGGATGCGAATCGATGAGAACTGAAAGAGGCGTCGGTAGAAGGAGAGAACTGCGAGTTTCGTGAGGGCTATTGACCAGGCGTATAGGTATTCACTGGCCCATAGCATCATGCGAGACTTTTCCATGTAGTAATCGATCTTCTCATCGCTGTCGGGTGCAAGTTTCTGGCCAAGTTTGAAGCACGCGGCCCCTGCGCAGCATCAATTAACACGGGTCGCATCGAGGAGACGATGATTTATTACTCACATACGATGAGATCAACTGAGTATGCAACTGCAAAGACCTATTAAAACTATGAGCGAGTGCTTCCTCTCCCAGCACCAGCACCAGTGTCTTACCCAAGCGGCGATACACAACGCATCGTCATAACCCAGGCCCATCCGAGTCATCCGCCGTGCCTTGATCCTCAGTACGAGGGCCAGGCCAGCGGCGGGCATAGGAATGATAATAGCCGCATACACATTGGGAATCAGCCCCGTCATGGTTGACTTTGTGACGAGGGGACGAGAATGACGACGAGAGGAGGCATTTGGAGCCAAGGCTGGTGGGGACAAAAGACGCACGAGGGAAAACCTGGGGAAAAGAGGGGCGACATGACCGACATTTATGCCGGGGAGCCATTGATATCAACGGGCTGGGCGGACAAGGGTCTTGCCACCTGTCTGACGAGTCATGGGGGAAGCTGTTATCTCTAGAGATACAGTACAGTAGCCCAGGGACCGATGTTCAGGGGCATTGTCTGTCTAGACTCATCTTGACTTGTGAGTTGTCAAGCGACATGTAGCGAGGCATTCTTTGGGACTGTATCTCATTGACTTGTCACAGATGCAGAAGCAGGCAGGCAGATGCTTGTGCTGTGCTGTGCTGTGCCATAGCAGGGCTGACCGAATGTCTTTTGTGCGACGCGTTGACGTAGCCCACCTTTTCCCCAGACGCGTCCAACCATGTTCGGTCTAGGGCTGGAGCCAAGTCCAGCCAAGAGCCACTGGATTGGGTGCCAGGTTTTTACAGGCTCAGCTGTCGGGCGAGGGGGAGGGGGAGGCAGTGACACGACGAGGCGATTCGAGAAAGCGTTGATCACTTCCTCGAGAGGATGGTCCCCCCGACATGCCAAGGGTCTCAATAAAAGGGCTGCCTGAGAAGCTGGAGTTAATGATATCAAGGGTGCACATTGGTGGTGGCTTCAGGGATCCAAGCCAAGTGGCTGCTGTGGTTGAGTTAGGTGGCCAGCATACAGGAGCCGATTTTTCCAGCCGTTTATGGCGCAGCGCGACCGACAGTTGGGAAATGCAACGGCCGTTCCATGCTCGCTCAAATGCTCGTCTTTGGACAATCTTTGAGGCCACGCGACCAAGGCACACAGGACAGTACAGTACAGCACAGTACGTACACCAGAAACCATCGACCCTTGAGCTATTCGGCGGCTCAGCTAATTACGTTCACTGTAATCATTCTTATCTCCAATGATCTTGGGCTCAAGAAATTGCCCGCAACCATAACTTAGCGTCCGCCACGCGGGAAAGGGACCCGACTCCGACTCAGCCTCGGATCCGCTCCCGATAAGTATCAGATGAGCATCGCTTCACTCGGTGATTAAGAGCTGCCCGACGCGTTGAGATGCTTTTCTTCACCGATGCTTACTAACTGTGAGGGCAATGCAAGATCTTTTCCTTCTTCTGAATGGCTCGAGCAAGATTATGAGTACAGTACGCGAAAAAGGCGACGCGTTTGTCCTACCCTGTACCGAACAAGAGACAAGACGGGAAGAACTGTCAGGCCCAGGGCGACTCATTAGATAGGCCAGGTTAAGGCGATTGATCGTGATTTCATACAGATAAATTAAATTAATTGATTCTATACATAAAAGCGAGAAGGAGAGAAACGCGAGCCCGATATTGAGCGCAGTTGAGTGATGGACAAGCTTAAGCGTAAGGTAGGTGCTGAAGACGTGATGCTGTCACAGTAGTTTCACTGCCAGCAGCTAACAGTGTGCGAGTGCAGTGGTAACTAGACGGTCTAATAATATTCTAGAAAATACAATACTAATTTACTTAAAATATCCATTCCGAACTTCTAGTAACCGTCACTTGACACATTGTTGATTTGCGTGTGCTGTGGGTGCCGGGTGCTGGGTGACGGATGCAGTATGCTATCACTTGTAATGCCGCCTTGGAGTATCTTTCGTTATTTAGCCCGAGCCTTGGGACGAAATCAGGCTCTCGATATCAAATGCCGGCGCGTATCTCCCTGACCTGAAGCTTATCGTGACACCGCGTCACGTCGTGTGGAGCTTTGCATCCATGCATGGCAAGACAAAATGAGGCGGAGGCGGCCCCGTCAGAAGAGGTTACATGTGCCGGTAGTTGCTGAGCAGAGAGCAAAGCTCAAGTCCAAGCATTGAACTGATGCTCAAGGAGAGTCCAGGTACTCCGTATATACCGAGACAATATTGTTGCTCCACGAAGGAAAAGCCTGAGTGCTGAGATCGAGACGTCTCTCTTCCTCTTGCGACGAAAAAGATGATTGACCAATCGGAATGAAACAGCCAGATTTACCCGGAGAGCCCAGCCAATGATATAACCGCAGCGGAGGCTCGTTACCATGTTCAAACACCTGACGCGTTCGGGGGGGTTGTTTTCCTCTTCGCGTTGCTCGTGACCTGATTCACCATGGCAGACCCAATCTTTGCGCCTTTGCCGCCCGAGCTCATCATCAAGATCTTGGGTTACCTCTCTGCCATCTCCAAGTCGACTCTTCTAAACTTGCGACTGGTTGATCAACGCACCTGCTCTTTGGCGACGCCAGTCGCTTTTCAAAGTCTCTTCCTCGGACCAAATGAAGGCTCACCTCACCACAGGGCTTTGCCAAAGTTGCGCTGTCCAAGCAGCTCGCCAAGTTCGTCCGGGAACTCACATGCGATACTTGGATTGGCACAGATCTCCAAAATGCCGATCGCCACTCCCGCACACAAGCACGCGTCAGCTTCTTGTCCGCCCTACCACTGATTAGATGTCTTCCCAACTTGAAAAGCCTTCGCCTTTGCTTCACTACTGAGATGGAGTTAGAGGGCTTTCCCTGGGTCGAGGAGCTGCTGGACTATCGCACCAAAGTGTTACAGACCATATTCAAAACATTGGCTGGCGACTGGTCAGCCATCGAGGCGCCCATTATTCGACAAGAATTGGAAACCGGCGAGCATCCAGCATGTGTCCCAGACTGGGGTGTGAGAGATGAAGCTGATCAACCAACTGGTCCGACGCGCCTTGACCGACTCACACTGCACAATGTTCCCGACGATGCCTGGAGCTGGACAGCTGGATCTGAACATGTCAAAATGGCGATTGCCTCAGGCTCTTTGGTCGATCTCAGACTATCCATTGCAACAGAAGGCCCCGATTGGAACACGGCCATGCATGGCATCAGCGAGGAGCTCCATGTTTCGTTCAACACCCTCACGTCTACCTGGCTCTCCCGCTCGGTGGCACAGAACCTCAAGATTCTGTCGCTGTCTTGCCGTACGTATTGGGGCTGGAACCCTAAATGTGATCTTCGTGCAGCTGGCGGTGGCGGCGGGTTTCCAAACCTGAAGGTTCTTGCTCTCAAGAAATATGTCTTTAGCCATCAATGGCAGATCGACTGGTTTGCATCCCTGGGGCTCGAGGAGCTGGAACTCGACACTTGCGCCATCATCTATGAGGCGAAAGGTCATATTCGGTTGAGCGAGGGCACAACCATCGTTGGCCAGGACAACGATGGAGTTAGCATCAAGGTTTCCAACAAAGACTACCCAATCAAGAATTGGATGAACTCCCTCCAAAGAGGCCCTGTGCCCAATCACCTTTTTCCAATCCGGTGGCACAATATTCTGAGCGAATGGAGGCAGTCGATGACCACATTGAAAAGCTTTCAGATCACTGCCGGCGAGTTATACGCCCGCCATGAGTCTGGGCTGGGTATGAGTTTCGCCGAAGCACATCGCCAGGAGCACGAGGACTTTAGACGCAAGTTGTTTCCCCAGCCGAGCGGCGTGAAGGTGAGTCAGGACCATGGCTTCTATTACAAGCAACCTCTTCGTTATCTCTACTTTGACGACATGGAGTTCTGGAATGAATGGAATAGTTGGGATAGGTCGAGGTCGGAAGATGAAGGTCGTGGGGTTGAGGACGGCGTTGAAGCAAGGGACAAGGCTGCTCTCCTCGACTTTTTGGAGACGATTCGGCAGAGGAATTTGGCAAACCCGTAGCTATGTGAGCATAGTCGCCCTGGTTTGCCTACTACCATGAGTGGGCCGAATTGGGTGGATGGTGTTGGAAGTCATGATGTCTAGAATGGCCTGATCAAGTGGTATAGGTAAGGATACCTAATTCCATGAAATAAACCACATGGGGTGAATGCTTCGGTCTTCTGGCTCTTGTCCCATCAAGGACCGGGCTTCAACAATAATAAAGAACACATTAAAGGTGGTGAGTTCTTCAATCATTCGATCTCCTTGATGTAGGTACGTTATGCAATCAGTGCTGATACGGTCATAAAACATAGTAATACGTCCATCAAGATTCACCTCTTATTGATCTCCAGTGCCTGGCGGATTCCAGAAGCCGGGGGCAGTCTTGAATCACCCACGGCCACTTCGAAGCAAACGCTTCAGTGACTTCCCATGCCTCAGAGTCTGAAGGATCACCCCAGACAATCATGCCCCCCAACCCATTAGCAACATCCTGAAAACCTCTCAGGTCGCGGCACAGCGCCTTCTTGTCATAGGAAGTTTCGTCCTGGCGCATAATATTATCTCGGATCTCGGGTAACGGCAAGATATCGACCCAAGGGTGATGACTGACAGTAAGCTGAAGGTGCGTAGGTTCTAAGCTAGACGGTACCGAGGGAATCATCGCAGCTCTGTCGATGGCGTGATATGGTAGCCGAGACCGAGCGTCAGGCAGCATGAGCTCGCTCGTGATGTTCATTATTCTCGCGTTCATTACTAATGCCCGCGTGGTGTTGGACTGAATCAGGTTGAGAAGCATGTCGGCGCGGGGTGAGCCATTGGTGAAGTCTGCGTGTACACGAGCGCTGAAGTGAATGATGAAGCGCTCGGTACGCTCCGACTCGGGTTCACAAGCAGTGAAAGAGTAGATACTTAAGGGATCAACCTCGATGAAGTTACTGGAGAAATTGGCGAAGGTACTGAGTTGACAGTCGCCAAAGAAGGATTGGGGGTTGGGCATTCGCGGGGGTCTTGAAATTCCCTTCATTCGTTGTCCTTTTTTCGGAGTTAGCTGAGAGCTGCCACGGGGTTAATGTCAAGACTGACGCCTGATTCTCTGGTGGATCCGATCCTGCATTTTCTTCCCTGCTCTCGGATCGCTGGTGCCCGTCCAATCGTCTTCTGTGCTTACATTGACCTGCTCGGGCATTAATTGGAGCGGGATGAAGGGTGGAGGCATCTCGATCGGGGTGCTTAGCAAAGAGGGCTATGTGATGGAGTCGTCTTGATGATATCTTCCTATGGATATAGTTACAAAGGAGGTGGGCTATGATCTTGGGGCAACCTTTGTCCAAAACTCTTTTCTTGATTAGGAGGTGATCACTCCGGGTAGATTTTTGGACACGGCACTAACGTGATTGTACTGTAACTGCGAGCTCTGTGTATTTCTCCAAGTATGATACCCAATGTAGCAATTAGTTATAGCAAGGTATCTCTGTCGTTTACGCTGGTGTAGGTGCTAGTAACATTGATGTTAGTAGACCTAGGCCTCGGCAGCCTCTTCCGGCGATCCAACTTTGCCCAGAGTGTGTGGCTCTTCACCTCGTCCAATACACCCCAAAGCGCCCATATTTATCCCGAGCACCGGGCAAGAACAAACCAAAAGGGCCGAGCATCTCTCGGTCTGCCCGAGGGTGTGCATACTTCGACAAGAACGGGAGGGTCGTGTGGCCCACATGGGTGTGCCACCATGGGCCTGTCCGAAAGAGCCATTTCTTCCCTAGTTGTAGTCTGTTGTGTCCCAAGGGTTACTAATTCACAATAACTTATTTCGACAATTGCATGATGCATGTATCCAAGGAATCCCTATATAATCATCTTCCTCTCTCCACCTACACAAGCTACCTCCTCTATATGGCGTAGACACAGCTCGCAAGCACCAGAACGTATCACAAAACATGGCCGAGAACAAAGCTGCCTGGGTCGATTCACCCTCAGGCTATCCTCTCAACATACGAGAAGCGCCCAAGGCAACTGCTGGCCCCGGAGAGATTGTCATCAAAAATGCTGCTGTCTCTATTGTTCGTGTCCTTCCTATTTGATGCCCCGGATAAAGTTTTCCTTCGACTAACGAGAATGCTCGCTAGAATCCTGTAGATTGGAAGATCCAGTAAGCTTCCTAGGCATCCTTCGACGCGACGGTCACTGAGCACTGAGCTGATACAACTAGGGTCCATGGGAGATACCTATCAGTATATCCTTTCATTCTGGGGGAAGACGCGGCTGGCTTTGTCGAGGAAGTTGGAACAGGCGTTACTCGCTTCAAGAAAGGCGGCAGAGTCGTTGCGTGAGTTCATGTTTTGACTGCAGCACCGGCACAAACTAACCAGACTTGGGCGAGATGAAACAGACATTGCCATGGCCTCATGACAAAGGACCCGGCAAATTCGGCCTTTCAATCCTATCCAGTTGTCCTTGACACCTTGGTCTCTCCTATTCCAGACTCGATGACTTTTGAAGAGGCTGTCGTTCTTCCTCTCGCCATCTCGACAGCCTGTGCTGTTCTATACGCCAAGGATCTTCTCGATCTACCGCTACCCTCGGTCAAGAAGCCTGCTAGCAATGGAAAGACCATATTGATCTGGGGCGGCGCGTCATACGTAGGTGCAACGGCCATTCAGTTGGCTGCTGCATCTGGTGTGACTGTAGTTATCACAGCCTCCCCTGCCAACCACGAATTCGTCAAGAGCCTGGGTGCCAGTGCCACTTTCGAATACAAGAGTCCTACAGTGGTCGAGGATATCGCCAAACCCCTGAAAGAGACTACGTTTATTGGAGTGTATGATGCCATCGGCGCAGATTCTAGCTTCGATGCTGTATCTGACATCTTTGACCGCCTCGACAAGAGCGTTCCTGTTGCCAGTGTCCTCCCGAGCAGCAAGAGTACTGAGCGATTCAAGCCCACTTACGCTATGGGTCCATCTGATCTAACCCCCACTCCTTGTGACGTATACTGACAAGCCTGTACAGTCGTTGCTTTTGCTATCGTCTAGGAACCTAACCAACATGTCGGGGAGTGGATCTGGAAGACCTTCATTCCTGAAGCCCTGGAGAATGGATCCTTCCAGACCAAGCCCGACCCTTCTGTCTCTGATCACGGCATCGGACACTCGGGCATACGGCAATCCTGGCGACCTGGCTCAGGATGCCAACCTCGACTTGGTAGTATGCAGCACTCGAGTTGACAGGCATTACATCACTATCAAGCCTAGCATTCTTGCAGGCAAAGCCGTCTTTGTAGAGTGGCCATTGGCTTCAAATACATCTCAGGCGCGAGAGTTAGCCAGCCTAGCTAGAAGGCAAAGTATCAGCTGCGTGGCTGGTCTGCAGGGTCCTGCTACTGCCCCAATCAGTGAGGCACGCAAACTATTGGAAGACGGCCTCTTAGGCAAGGTTCTCAGCTCGGAAGTGAAGGCATGTGGAGGGGCGGGCAGCCATGATACCATTCCGGAGTCTTTGAGGTACTTTACGCAGATGGCGGTGGGGGGAATGCGATTACCATTGGTTTTGGCCACTGTAAGTTTCCCTTACTCCCCCGTCCCTCAAACCTGGGCCCATTCTCCTTATTCTAACGGCTATAAGTGTGGGAGTTCCTACAAAGTGCACTTGGGGAAGTTTATGATATCAGAAGCAGGCTACAGCTGCAGCGGTCCATGGTCAGACTTGCTTCTAAGACGTGCGTCGTGATTGAGACTGTCGAGTCTGATGTGCCAGATCTTGTCTCCGTAAAGGCCTTGCTGAGACCCTCCCAATACGTCGGGAGTGGCGCTACGGTTATCATGACATTCCAAAAGGCCCAGCCATTTCCTGGCGATCCTTGTCTCACATGGACAATTTCGGGAGAAAAGGCCGAGCTTAAGTTTACTGCTCAAGGTGGAACAACCCCTCGAACCATGGCTTCAGGGGATATCAGGGTTGTGTTGCACGACTTTTTCACTGGTGAGATTAGCGATATCCCTTGGACTTGGGAGCCCTGGCGCCAGGAACTGCCAGTCGCAGCCCGGGGCGTTGCCGGGGTATATGAAGTGTATGCCCGGGGTGACAGCACGGGGTATTGCGATTTTGAACATGGCTTGAAACGTCATGAGCAATTAGGAAATATTCTATCTGGCTCCTAATGATACCACTGGAAGGTTGTCATGTGGTCGTATGACGTGGATTCCTCGAGGGACTGTATGTCTGTTGAATGGACGTAGTTAACAAACCAGCCAGGGAGCCGTATGTATATTAAGTCAAATCTATCTATGATGTGTATACCATTCATGCAGAGACTTTGCGGTATCCATAACTCTCATCTGCTGAACACACGGCTGTACTCCGCATGTTAAGCTAAAAGATGTCTTGTGCCTATTGCTTGCTGAGAGGAATAGGTTTGGACGGTAACTTGGCAGATGTGTAACTGGCAAGCAACTGCTGCGACTGGTTGAGACTGTCTTACCACCAGGTATCGTACCGACCTTGGTTGAAGGATATGCTGGGACGGGTCGGCCCCGGGTCCCCGGCAGTTGAGGTCTATAAAGTGGCAGGAAACAGGACTGTTCCACAACTGAAAGAAGGAGATTCAGGGACTGCAGAGCCGATGCTAGCTGCCGACAAAGCCCCTCCCCAGCTCGACCAGGGGAGAATACCCTCGGCATGGAGTGGAGGTAACAGCCCAGGTTGCCCAACGTCTTGTGAAAGACGCCGTGTCCCGGCCTCGGTATTCTCGGGTTGTGAACCCCCCGCTTGATTAGAAATAGATTACGAACCCAGTACGTTCTGTCCCGAGTGGGATTGCCGTTATTGCGGCCCTGTCTCTTAACACGTTTCGCATGCTCCGTTTTAAATAGGCTGTGTAAACTTTATGTGATAAGATCAAACCAGATCAGGCTTCGCGTCTGTTACAAGAGCCCTGGCGAGCCAATGAGCGTGTTGCGCCTCTGATTGAATGTCAATGCCATTTTCCAAGCTTGCGGTGATGGTTTCCGTCTTGGGTAATCTAATCTTTGGCCCTTGCTCCTGAAACGGTCATGTCTTGGGGCCAAGGGAAAATAAACTTTCAAGAAACGGCACGTTTACTGTACTAGGCTTACAACGAGGTTAGTGCGGTCGAATGATGGCGCAAGCGATCGAGGCGTATGGTTTTGATCGATACAGTATGTATAAGAGCAGGTTGGCCTTCCTGGCCGAAACATGGACGTAAAATCATCAGTTGGCCACTGAAGTAATTGTTTACACTCTTTGAAGTTGGCACATTATCCATCACTTACCAAATATGGCCAGGCTCCCGGTCCTTGCCGTGGCCGCTGTTGGCTCCCTCTATGCAACCACTGCCCTAGCCTACCCAGGTGCTAAGAGTGCCGATCTTCGTAAAGAGTACGATTATGTCATTGTCGGTGGAGGTGCAGCCGGTCTGACAGTTGCAAATCGTTTGTCTGAGAACCCTGGTATGTCTCTTGTCTTGGCCTTATCCCTTCACAGCCAATGCTCACTCGATTATCTCTCAGCTGTAACTGTCCTCGTCATCGAAGCTGGTGACTTGTAAGTAATAAGACTCGATGAGAGTAGTTCTAACCATAGAGTAGTGACGCCAATGAAGACTTTGTCACGATCCCTGGCCTCGCTGGCGGCGCTGTCGGTACCAAATACGACTGGAACATCACGTATCCTGCCAGCGAGTCGCTTAACGGGCGCAGCGTCTCGATCCCTCAAGGCAAAGTCGTGGGAGGCTCAACCAAGCTCAACCGAATGGTTTTTGATCGAGGATCGAAAGCAGACTACGATGACTGGGCTGAGCTAGGTAACAAGGGCTGGGACTGGGACACTCTTTTTCCCTACTTTAAGAAGGTAAGGTACCTTAAACCCACTCAGCCAGTGTCAATTGGTCACGATGTTTTACGGTATTGGGGTTTTATGTTGTCATGGATTGATGGCTGTATCTTTTGTTTGTGGCTGATGGCCTCTGTTAGAGACGTCACTGATGACAAGAGTCAAACGCTAACTTGGAGCTTTAGAACGAACAATTCACTCCTCCCAATGCCGATATCCAGAAGGAGTATGCCATTACTACGGATGCGTCAGCTCATGGTACTTCGGGCTACATGCACTCAAGCTACTCACCCTTCTTTTGGCCTACCACAAGTACGTTGATTATTTCATTTCAAGCTCTAAAATGAACAGCTATACTGATGGCTCTGCCTTAGAGAACATTGTCAAGGCGGTCCAAGAGCTTGACATCACTGTCGCTCGCGACCAAGCCAACGGAAGTCCTATCGGAGGATACTTCTGTCCTCATAACCAAGATCCCAAAACGCTGACGCGGTCCTCTGCCCGGGAAGCCTACTACGAGTCGGTCTCCAGCCGGAAGAATCTCAAGATATTGACTGGCCAACAAGTTACACGCGTACTCACTAAGAAGTACAGGAGCACAGTCAAGGCCACAGGTGTAGAGGTAAGGCGCCAACATGCCGTGAGTGAGTCTGTCTGGCTGACCAGCGATACCACAGTTTGCCAAAAGCAGAGACAGTTCCCGCCAGACAGTCAGGGCCAAGAAGGAGGTTATTCTTGCGGCGGGAGCAATTCATACGCCCCAAATTCTCCAAGTCTCTGGCATCGGCGATTCGACCCTTCTCTCTAGCATCAACGTCGCCACAGTCGTGGACCTCCCTGGAGTCGGCCAGAACTTCCACGACCATGTCTTGCTCGCCGTAGTCAACCAGAGTAAGTGGTGCCATTCATGTTGATCTTATCAACTCATTCGAGACTGACGCGGAAGTAGTCAAAGCACCTGTTCAGACCAGCGACCTGACCAACAACGCCACCTTTGCGGCACAAGCGCGAGCTCAGTACGACAGTAAGAAGAAGGGTCCCCTAACAAGTCCCACTGGCGATTTCCTCATCTTTCTGCCCCTCTCCGTCTATTCAAGCGCAGCCTCAGACATCCATGAGCAAGCAACTGGCCAAGACGGCACCAAGTTTCTGCCGCCTGGCACGCCCGCCGAGATAGCTAAGAGCTACCAGAAGCAGCAAAAGCTTCTTAGCGAGAAGTTGCTCGACAAAAAGACTGCTATTCTTGAGCTCATCTGGAGTGACGGCGCCCTCGTCCTCGGTCTCCAACACCCATTCTCGCGAGGATCCGTCAAGGCTAAATCATCTAGCATCTTCGATGCTCCTGTGGCCAACCCGGAGTTTCTTAGAAACCCACTTGATGTCGCCCTTTTGACTGAAGGTATTAGGTTTGCCCGAAAGCTTGTTGAGGCGCCCTCTATCAAGAGTCTCGCGCCTGTGGAGGTCGTCCCTGGAGCCAATGTGACGTCCGACGATGATCTAGAGCAGTTCATTCGCTCTAGTGCTGGAACACTGTTCCATCCCGCTGGGTCCAACAGGATCGGCAAACGTGAAGAAGGCGGTGTTGTCGATGAGAACCTCAAGGTCTATGGTGTTGATGGGCTTCGAATTGTTGATGCTAGCGTGATTCCTTTGCTTCCTGCTGCGCATACTATGACGACTGTATATGCTGTAGCTGAGCGGGTGAGTGATTTGATTCCGCCATGAGTAGACAACAGATTGCTGACCACATGTACATGCAGGCTGCGGACCTTATCAAACGGGGATAGATGGGACCTCGCTGTTGGTCGTACACGTTTCGAGAATCTCTCGCTTCCATTCTTCACTTTTATGTACATTGATAAATTCTTACCCAATCTTCAACACACGTATATAGTCTCCCTCGTCATTGCCGTCAGGTTGAAGCCAAGATCCTGGTGGTAACCACAAAGCTCCAGAGGCTCCGTAATGACTGGTGCTGACATTCCATCTAACTGCAAACCTGATGTTCTCCGACGAGCCGTAAAGGGGGGTCAAACGAGACGATTTAGTCTATATGTGGGATGCGAATGTAATCAAGTGATCTCTACATGGTGAATCTTGACTGCCATGCGATTCGCCAACAGCTTAAATATGTTGCGTGTAACATTGCCCACGTTGATTGCAATAATCACAAAGCCTGTGGCCGTTTTATAAGGACCACTTAGGAAGCTCAAGTCACCTCCAGTGCCTGAGATGGCAACCCGTTGGGGCTGCATAATCCAGATGTGCTCGAGGGCAGCGTCAGCCGTCGCACCACTGCAAAGCAAGCACAGTGGCGATTCCCTCATCAGGGGCATCAATTCTTTCCCGAAGTAGCAGAAGATATCTGACAGGAACTGAGGCGTATTGAGAAAATATGCCATTAACCGTGGCGTCTGAGTTGAGGCGCCCTTGGCAGCGAGTTTCGCCTACAGGATAAAGGCTATAGATGCGAACACAGTAGATGCCTGCCATTTAACAGAAGCAATTTCAATTTCGATATAACTACTGTTTAGATACAGGATTCTGGTAATGGTGGATTGTCTTTACATTGCAATACACCCCAAGCCCTTCACGGCCCCATTCTCCGCCAACTCCAGACTCTTTGCGGCCAGCCAGATGTGCCTGTGGCAAAGGTTTCTCGGAGCTGTTAATCCATATAGTTCCCGCATCGATTCCTGAGGCAATCCTTCTTGCTCGATCGATATCGGCCGACCAAACGGCTCCGCCTAAGCCTGTCGTGGTGTTGTTTGCACGGGATAAGACCTCATCTTCGTCTTTCCACCTGAGTAGCGGCACGATGGGACCTGCAAGTGTAAAAAAGAAAAAGAATTAGCAGGCCAAAACATGTAACTTGTATTTTTCGAGGCGACCTTTGTGATAAGAAGAAGAAACCAAGAAGTAGCAAAAGGATTTGGGGACTTACCAAAGGCTTCACCCTCGACCACAAGTGATTGATCAGGAGGATTGTCGACGATAGCTGGGTTAATGAAGAGACTCGATCCATCCAAAGTTTGGCCTCCTCCACACGCAAACTTGTAGCCATTCTCGGCTGCGTCTTGAAAAAAGCGCTTAACAATGTTATACTGCATCTCGTTTTGTACTGGCCCGAGCATAACACCTCCCTCCGTTTCAGGTGGCCCAACCTTCCATTTCTCGACAGTTTCAACCATTTTCTCGAGGAACCTATCGTATATGTCTTGGTGGACAAAAACACGCTTGCTGGCCACGCATAGCTGACCAGAATTGAAGAAGGCTGCCAATGCCACTTGAGGAGCAACGACATCTACGTCAACATCGGAGCAAACGATGTTGGCGCTGTTTCCGCCCAGTTCAAGAGTGACACTTTTGAGCGTGGCACTCGCGGCAGCCATAATCTTCTTGCCTGTTGCACTTGACCCTGTAAAACTTATCTTGTCCACGTCGGCATGTTGGCAGAGTAAAGGGCCCAGTTCCATATCCCCGTGAAGAGCCTGCAGGACTCCTGGAGGGAACACATTCTGGACCAGTTCGGCAAATTTGAGGAGGCTGTATGGGGTGTATGGCGATGGCTTCGCAATCATACAGTTGCCTGTCAATAGCGCAGGCGCAATCTTACCGATTGCGAGGACAAGAGGATAGTTCCAAGGGCAGATAGCACCAATCACTCCCATAGGTTCGTACTGCAGGGTTAAGTGAAGGTCTTTGTCGTCTTGAATGACACGTGTCTCCAGCGGCTCCTGGGCAGCTGTTGGGCAGAACCTCAGTCAGACAATCTCATACCGACAAATCTCAAGGTACAGAAGGTCAACAAACCAAAGAAGTCGAGGAAATTGATGGCATGGATCACTTCAAGTTCGGCAAACTGTGGAGGTTTGCCGCACTCGAGGGATAAAAGCCGAGACATGTCATTTTTGCGCTCCGTAAGGAGCTTGCTTGCGTTTGCCAGACAAGCTTGCCTCTGGGCCCACGGTGTCTTGGACCAATCGGCAAAGGCGACGCGAGCTGCACCGACGGCACCTTCGAGATCCTGTGGCGAGGCGATGGGTACATCCCAGAGAGGTTTGCGGTTTGACGGGTTGATGCCATGTCCCAGCCGTTTACTCCCTCGAAGTGCGCCTCCAACAGTATTCCTAAAGGCAAAAAACCTGTTGCTGCTCATGTTGACTTGACTTTGTTGGTGGGTACAGGAGAAGATGAGGAATGAAGATAGTTCACCAATCCATAGACACACCCACTTTAGTGTATTTGAGCTGATAGTTAGTCCAGAAAAGGATCATGTACCACCGGCAGTTGCCAAACCACAGCTGCCGAAGTCAGGGACCTCGGTTTGGTAGATTGCTTCCCCGCAAACTTCCCCGCAAGTGTATCTACCCCAGCCCGGGCCTCTCGGAGCTACAGGAGTACCCCAGACTATGTCTACGTACTGTTCCATAGGTGGTTAAGATACGTATCTCGAGAGCGAGATTTGTAAGTGGGAGTCTATTACATCCAATCCATTATAGGTCTAGCTAACTGGCTATCGCACTTCTTTCTGCCAGATCAGAGTTAATTTGGCTCTGTAGGGTTGTAGAAAAAGGTCAATGATTCGGTTCGAGAATGTCACTGCCAACGGAGCGGGAGTGCCCGCATTGCAAGAGGCATGGACTCAGTGGTTAGAAACTCGTTCACACCATGCGGTTTATTGGAATATTTCCCGGCTTTAAGCTCAACTCCGCCCTTGGCCACAGGCCATCAGCCACAACAGCAGAAGATACAGTTATCATACACAATACCGTAAAACACCACACGGTCGTCTATGCATGAATGGTTATTATGAACACTCGCCGGCTAATCACTCTCAGGCGGTTACTAAATACGCGATTACCCTTGGGATATAGAACGAGGTTCATTTCCCTCAGAGCAACCCATTCTGAATTGAGCGACATATTTGAGCCGGAAGATGTAGATGAGTTCTGTTCTAGATTAAGCAAATTTTTATGAATGAAACCTCTATAGGGGAACAGTCAGCTTACCAGACAGTGTGCGAGACGCCGCAGTCACTCGCGCGCACAGAGTCCTTTCAGGAGAGGTACACAGTGTCAGGTACATAGGCAGACTGCCTCTCAACTCTTCTAACTGATATTTGGGGAGGCATATGTCCAGTCTGTGCCTCGTTTCCAAGCGGTGATCTGCCAGTCGGTTTTGATGCGCCGCACCTCGAATGGATGGTTGACATTAGCTCATCAATTGCAAGAAGATTGACAGTCTGAAGACATAGATGAGGCCTTGCGGCAGCCTCCAGCCTGGTCCTGAGATGTTGAAGGCCGTACAATGACACAATCAGCACCAAATAAATATGAGGAGCGAACGCCATTCATTTGGCGACGATGTATAACATTAGCGGATGAAGAAACGAAGTTGATGATTTCCATGGAACATGGTAAGGAATCCCCCGCGTCGTACTGTTGTAGATTTTAGTTGACTGTCAGTTAGATTTTACCGAGACACTCGCTGTAATTGGCTCTGAAATGGTGCATCTAACGAAGTTTGGGCGTGGACAGCCTCTTCTAATTCTCGAACATCAACCGACGCGGCTTTACTACACATTTTCTTTTGTTGGCCGTGATAGTTTCATAGAGGCAGCCGACGAAGTGAATTAGTAATTGTTGCTGACCAGGCCCTCTTAGGTAAGGGGCCAAAAAGAGAAACATACGCAGCGAAACCGGCATTGATACCAGAGCTCGTTTGAAGAGTTTGGACTTGAAAAGAAATCTCTTGGTCCTTCATCTCACCTCTGCTATTGCATGACCACACGCTTGGTGAATGCTCCACAGCGGCCGATCCTGACCATGGCGAGCAGGGGTGAGGGGTTGCATGGCTCAAGGCCAATGACCTTTTTCCAAGCTAGTGAGAGCCCTTGCTGCGTTGCATCTGCAGAACGCGCTGCTTATAAGGCCAGACGGGTATCCATGCGCCAAGACGGCATGAAACAACCCGTGTCTGGTAGGGCTGTTGACCACTAGAACCACCGGAATTATGGAGCGAGGTGGTAGTTGTCTGACATAAATTGGTTGGCCTTGTACATGTTCTGCAGGTTTCACTTCAGCTCCTGTAGGCCGTCATGCAGCTATCAACCCACCGTGGCCAATGCTGGCGAGAACACCTTACTTCGCGGCCCGAAGTCCCATCAAGCTGTTCTAGATCTTACGTAGAGGCATTCCATGTCTCAGCCCTTTCACGGCACCTTCGGGATCAGGCAATCCGTCTAAGCAACGACGAGATGTGGTAAGCTATAGTCAGCTCCATGCAACTGCTGATGACGTTAGCTAGACTCGCAACTTCTGCTTAGAAATCGAAAGGTCGCCGGCTGGACTGCCCTCCTTTTCAAGCGGCCAGTTGTCAAGTGCTTCTCACGTAATAGTCCATGAAACTGTAAGCTAGTAATAGAAGCCCGTACGTATTTAGCTATACAAGGCAATAACTAAGTAGCCGTATTGATCAGAGTCTAAAACAAGGCGAGTGATGAAGATAGACTGGCACACTCAAGGCAATGTCACCTGCCTTTTCCCTGGGCAGCAGTGGGATGGCCGCCTTGAGCCCACTTCAAATACTACTTGCCTGATACGGAAGCACTTGCGGGTTTCGTGGCATTCATTTCACTGACCAAGCTTTCTTTGTTGGGCAAAAGACCAAGACATGTTTGGAATACAACGTGGTGGGTTATGTGTCTCGGGGAGTTTGTGGACAGGCAAGTAAATGGCCTTGTTGCACCTTCATGCATCATGCAGAAAAATGTCTCCTGATGGGGCTCGTGTTCTTCACCCTGTAGAAATCTCAGTTCCCATTCTAAAGCTTGGAACTCTTCAACCCGCTCTCCTATTGGCGAGTTTTTACGATGTCTCTTCTACAGGGTATTGATCCCTGCCCTGCACAAAACATAAGCTGATCGCCGTGTAACCACCGAGGGAAATAGGACTGGGGATACGGTGGAGTGAATAAGGGTAAGCCAATTATGGTAAAAGGTGATGTTTACATGTGCTGCAGACTGTGTGGTTTATAAGTTGTTAACCACCCCCGAAGCTTGACGTGCTGGCTCCGCGATATCTCATCCCCAGTCCGCTCTTCTCTATCCCTCCTTACCAAGACAAGACGGCCCCTCAGTTGCATCGTGATCATGAAGTTGATCAACGCCATCGCGACCGCCTTGGCGCTCTGTCCCCTCTCCGCCTCCGCCGAGCGCAAATTCTACAACCCAGGCAACCTCAACGGATGGGACTACATCCGTCGGGAGAACAAGGGTACCGTCGAAGCCGTCACCAACGTCGCCTACAAGGGCGGAAATGCCCTCAAAATGACGCAGACCTATACACCCGGCTACACTGGCCGCTACCACTCTGAGGTCGATCACAACCAGGGCTACAAGCGTGGCGACCAGCTTTTCTACGGTTTTGCTTTCCGCCTGTCGGAGCAGTGGGAATTTCAACCCCAGTCGTACAACTTGGCCCAGTTCATTGCCAACCGCCCTGGTGCTAGCTGCGGTGGCGATGACTGGATGCCTTCGTCCATGCTTTGGCTCGAAGGCGATCAGCTGGTGTCCCGTGTCGTCAGCGGCCAGTACCGAGTACCAGACTGCAGCCGTGACATCAAGACGTTCCCCAAGTTGGCCAAGGTCAGTGCTGGCCAGTGGCACAAGGTTGTCATCCAGGCTTCGTGGAAGAGTGACAACACTGGCTTCTACAAAATCTGGTTTGATGGCAACAAGGTCCTGGAGGAGTACAACCGTAAGACGACCCTCAACGACGACAGCGTGTTTCAGTTCCGCATTGGTCTGTATGCCAACGCTTGGCACGATGATAAACACATGGAGGGTAGTCAGAGTTTTCGACAAGTTTGGTATGACGAGGTTGCTATTGGAACCACTTTTGCCGATGTCGACCCTGGCCAGCCTGATGCTTCCTGAGTCGACCTACCTGTGATGGACATGAGAATAAGTCTATGCTGAAGTCCAAGGTTGAAGTGCCTGGGGATATGCTTTGTTTTGAGGATATGTATATATTTGAAGAGGATAGAATGCCAAATATCAGAAAAAGACCAGCCAACCCAACATATTATTGGGCATTCCCCTCTATGCCTCTTGCCCACATCCAATAGGTAGTGAGGTAGCTTCATTTACGATATCTTTCGCCCTTCTCCGTTTGGTCGAACCCCGAAGCACTCCATCACTCCCATCAAGCCCAATCCTCTGGGTTATATGGACCCTGCCTCCCAGCGGCACAATACCTTGCCCATCTCCTACCCTTCTCAGCCTGCACCTCTTCAGCCCGCCTAGTCATTGCGACGACATCAACCGCTTGCCCCCGGCGGATCTTGCCCTCCTTTCTATAAGCATCCACACGGTTGAGAATCTCCTGGCAATCATCCCATATCCTTCTCCGGTTTCGTAATCCCTGCAATCTCTTCCAGTTTCGGCCAATCTCAGTCTGCAGACGGTACCAGTCCGTCTCGATACGGCCCAGCAAAATGACCGAGGTTGTGGGACGGGGGCTACCGGAAATATCCTCGAGTTTCTCAATCTCGTCGTCTATGGCCTCAATAGCGGCGTCGTTGGAGTCGGGATCGCTAGAGTCATGGGCTTCGTCCTCCAAAACCTCAATGGCGTTTCTTAGCTCTGTCAATCTAGCCTGCCGTGAGTTTTCCTTTCTCTCTTCCTCTTCCCGTGTTGTGGTAGCCCAGAAGGAGATGGGCAACGACGACCAGGCTTCGTACAACCACGGGTTGTCGCTCAAAGTCAAGTGATAGAAGAGCGACTGGGGCAGCTGCAAAAATGTCCGAGAAGCGAGCCGGAGGTTGGCGATATCCCTGAAGCCCAACTGCAGTAGAATAAACATTCTAATCTCTCCGGGAAGTCGGGAGAAGAGATCTGTGGGATTTTTCGCCATCGAGACGGCCGTGGGAGTTATTTCACCGTTTGACTGGCCAAGCTCTTTTGGACGCTTCGCGGAAGATAAGAGAGCTTCCAAGCCAGGTATAAAGCATGGATTGGCGACAAGGTACTCGTCCCCTGGAGAATGATCCCAGGACTGCTGTTGGCCATTTTCGACATCGGGATGTCGTGGAAAGGCATGAAAGTCCTCGTAATTTGCTTCATGTGCCCACCACTGCGTAAGACATTCGATATCAACAACGCCGTACCTATGTAGCGAGGCCCTCTTGAAAACTTCGAGACAGGTCGGATGAAAAGGCATGGCGTAGACTTCAGCGTCCTCAATAGTCCAGATGCAGTTGTCAGCATGAGGACTGTCACAGTCATGGCGAGTAGGAAAGACTTGGGGATAGTCCATGTCTCTGCTTGGCATGGAGTCATTCAGACCGCTGAGGAAGAAGTGCCCCGAAGTTTCAAACTCCTCATCATCCGGCTCAGGCTCCCAGTCCTCTGGCTTGCGCACAAGGCATTGAGAGGTTTTGCAACCTCTCATGGCCTTTACTGAGATGTTGTATCCGTTGTAAGCATCGCCTTGATTACACCTTGGCCCTGAAATATGTTCCCAATCTTCCGGCTCGAAGTTGTCTTGATCAATGTCGGCGGGGAAGAATTTGACTGGCTCCAAGAGAGCGGTCTCGGGTTCTTCAGCATCTTGGTTCGCATCGGCATATCTGTCGACCCAAAAGCATCCCGGCTCATCAGGACAAGACTCTGGATGGAAGCGATCTGGAAAGTCGCACTCTTGACCCCAAGCGGCGCTGCGAGGCTCCTTCTCTGTGCGGGCACGGCTGATGTTGAAACTGACACCACATATGTGGCAATGAATTTCGGAGTAGCCCATGGTAGTATAGTGTTACTGAGAAACCGGCTGTCTGAAGTGAAAAGTATTGCAAGAGGAAGAGTTCACGATGGCCCCTTTATGCTGACCGACGGTCAATTTCGGAGGCAGCAGTCTGGGCGCCCCACATCGGCGATTGCTTCTTTTGCTCAGGGAAGTAATTACAGGGGACAATCAACCAGCCAAGAAGCCACCAGAACTGTAGATTACAATGAAAGGTTCACTGAGAGGTTGACTGGATGCTATTGGCGGGGTTACTACAAGAAATAACAAAACGAGCAACATGGTTCTTGGCCGCCCAGAACGAGATAATATCGCAATGCTTGAACAGATCTCTGTCGTACAAGGACCAATGATAGGTGCCCGCAAGAATCACGTCCGTGAAGCTTGGTCCCAGAATCAGATCGGGGTTTGATTCCTTCACGCTACTTGGCATTCTACCTAAGCCAAAAGCACGGACTTGTGATGCCTTCATCACGCTTGAACAAGGGCACAAGAAGCCATTATGGGCACGCGCTGGCGCCGTAACTATCCTAACACGTTGTTACCTGCTGATATCGGTGCTTCCATAGTGAACGTGGGTGTTTAGCAAGTTCGTAGGAAATGCTTGCGTTTTAAACCCCGCTCCCTGGGAACAAAAAGTGCCCTTTGCAAGGTCTTATGTTATCGTTCAAGATCAATGCGAGCAAAGGGGTAGGTCACGTGTGTTTGTGAGAGAAGGGGTTTAACAGTCACGTGATCAATCCAGGCGACCCACCGAGTCAAGATTTTTAGAGATAAGATAAGATAAGGCAAGATAGAGGGGCAATTTGGAGGGGCACGAGAAACAGGCGGGAGTCAACACCATCAAAAGTTTCTCCAGCAACAACCACGCACTTGTCAATCAAGCCTTCATCTTTGCTTCTACACAAATCAGACAAGATGGCCACCGGAATCGATGCCGAGGCACCTCACAACAACTTCGACGTGTGTGAATTTCCTCTCCTGAGCCTCCTCGCTCTGCTCTGGCATGGCGAACCCCCCGCAATCCAGGCTGCACGGCTTCACTAGGTACTGACATGTTTCGTCACAGACCATCTTGGTGTTGGATTTTGGCAGCCAGACCAGCCATCTGATTCTCCGACGCCTGCGAGCCCTCAGTGTTTATGCTGAGATGCTCCCCTGCACCACCAAGCTTGCCGATCTCACCTGGAAGCCCAAGGGTATCGTCTTGTCTGGAGGTAAGAATCCCTTCGGCCCTCCTCCATTTGTCTCTAACAAGCGCAATAGGTCCCTCCTCCGTTTATGACGAAGGCTCGCCTCGTGAGATCTTCCTCCCTCACACATCAGGTGCAAGTATGCTGATTCAAAGAAGACGTTGACCCCGCCGTCTTTGAGCTTGGTGTTCCGATCCTGTGAGTCACCTCGGTGTTGAGAAACACACATTCACTGACGCGAATTTATAGTGGTATTTGGTATGACTCCCCTTGAGCCTTATTATAGTCTAGTACTAATTACTCGAGTTTAGCTATGGCTGCCAGGCAAGCTTTTCATTGTGTCTCGTCTCGCAAATCCGCAACTAACCCCAAACTTGTGTAGGAAATTGCTTGGCAGACTGACTCTGCGAACGTTGCTCGTGGAACTGCTCGAGGTTTGTATTTGTTCACTGAACCTGCGTGCTTACGATTTCTAACAACTCGGCTGGACAGAGTACGGTCACGCTGACGTCACGATCCACAAGGTTGACAACCATGTCGACCGTCTCTTCGCTGGTCTGGGTGAGACTATGCATGGTGAGTTCCCTTCCTTCTTTATGAAACGTCCAGGTCTTTGAAGGATTCTAACACTAGATAGCCTACATGAGCCACTTCGACAAGCTCGTCCGCCTGCCCGAGGGATTCGTTGTTGTGGCCAAGACTGCCAACTCCGAGTTTGCCGGGATCGCTCACCAGTCAAAGCCTATCTTTGGTGTGTTTTTCCATCACAAAGCCGATTCACGTCACCCATCTCCCCACTCCATCATTCGCTGGCCGCACTGCTACGCTTTTGCCCCCCTTTTATTTTCCCTTCGCGTTACATACAAGCCCCCTTCTAACTTCACCCACCGTGTGATCTTGACTAACTCAAGATCCCAATAGGCGTGCAATTCCACCCAGAACTCGAACACGTATGCATATCAGCTCCTTTACACCTCCTGGCCCGCACCCCTTAACTAACATGATGCGACTAATAGACTCCCCGTGGAAGCGAGCTCTTGCGCAACTTCAGTGTCGACATTTGCGGAGCTCAACCCAACTGGGTCATGAGTGACTTCATCGAGCAGGAGATTGCTCGTATCAGGAAGCTTGTTGGCGACAAGGCCCAGGTTATTGGAGCTGTCTCTGGTGGCGTAGATAGCACAGTGGCCGCCAAGCTTATGAAGGAGGCGATTGGTATGCCATCATGGTTGTATCATGCACATATGGAGAGGCTGACACACGCATAGGTGACCGCTTTCACGCTGTCCTCATCGACAACGGTATGACCAACTCTTGTGCGCGAACCTAACCGACACTAACTTGGTGTAGGCTTGATGCGCCTCAACGAGTGCGAACAGGTGAAGGAGACTCTTCAACAGCATCTCGGAATCAACCTTACAGTAGTCGATGGCGCCGAGCTCTTCCTCGGCCGCCTCAAGGGCATCAGAGAGCCCGAGAAGAAGCGCAAGATTATTGGAGAGACCTTTGTATGTCCCCAATCGCTCCATCTGCCTCGGCTTTGATGTTACTACCAGTGCTAACTGGTTGATAGATCGACCTATTTGAGAAAGAGGCCGTCAGAATCGAGAAGGAAGCAGAGAACACCCCCAACGCTGGAAAGGTCTCTTGGTTCCTCCAGGGAACGGTAAGTCACCCTGTGTCCTGGCCCTTCTTATATGGATGGCTGGATTGACTGACACCTTGGCTCTGACGTAGTTATACCCGGATGTGTATGTGTAGCAAGTGGTTTGTGTACCAGGGAAGACTGACCGTCGACAGCATCGAGTCCCTGAGCTTTAAGGGCCCCTCTGCCACTATCAAGAGTTAGTAACTATCGTAGGTACCGACGCTTGCAATCACTGACCCTTATTATAGCGCATCACAACGTCGGTGGTCTTCCCAAGGCAAGTCCCCCCTCCCACCCTCCGTGTCTGACCTTGAACTAACCGAGACATAGCGAATGATGGACGGCGTTAGTTACACACCCCTTGTTCTGTTCTCTCGCATCATGACTAACTTTGGCGATGACAGCAAGGCCTACGGGTAAGCTAGCAACTTGCCCCAATTCGACTGTTTGAAGTCCGTCCAGTTACAACACCAACTCTCCAATCATTTCTGACCATCTCCATTCCCCTGAGCGCAAAAAGAGACCCACATAGGCTTCTCTTCTTTTCCCCAGCTCTTTGCCGTCCGGGGAGTAAAACTGACAGTGTTTCAGCTCTTGGAGCCTTTGCGCGAGCTCTTCAAGGATGAAGTCAGAGCACTTGGTAGGCGTCTTCAGATTCATGAGGACCTCGTGAATCGACATCCTTTTCCCGGGTAAGTTTTCTCTTCTTTTTCTTCCTTTTTCTCTTCCTTTTTTTACCCCCCACAGGGGTTAGGCGGGCACACCCTGCTGGCAACAGCAGGTCAAGCTGAACCTTTTGACAATGTTCATGGCTAATTCTATTGGATACACAGACCTGGCATCGGAGTTCGTGTCTTGGGAGATATTACCCCCGAACGAGTCGAGATCGCGAGAAAGGCCGACCACATCTTCATCTCCATGATCAAGGAGGCCGGAATCTACAACGAGGCAAGTCCACTGGCACTAGTAGTTTGAACAAGAGCTGACCCTTGAAATAGATGTCCCAAGCCTACGCTGGCTTGGATACCAACAAGGGTATGTTCGCCAGACATGGGATGGTGAAGACACCCATCTCGGCTTGACTAACTGACTGTTTCTCACAGCTGTTGGCGTCATGGGAGACACCCGTGTCTATGGATACATCGTCATGTAAGTTACCGCCCACTGCTCTGTCCTCGAGATCTGAGTTCTGACCTAGTTCATAGCCTCCGAGCTGTCACAACTAGTGACTTCATGAGCGCCGAACCCTACGAGTTCTCCTTCAAATTGCTCAAGGCCATGGCTCGCAGAATCGTCAACGAGGTGGATGGAGTCTCTCGAGTCACATATGACCTGTAAGTCACTTTTCTTGTTCCAGTCTTGAAGTCCTAACTGACGTTTGGCAGTTCTTCGAAGCCCCCCGGAACCATCGAACTGGAGTAGAAACTGCATTGAATGAGAAGCAGAGAATGTCCAGATTGGGACCAGAGCATGGGTTTCTAGGTGCCGTGTTTGTGGGAAGATCGAGCAAGAAAAAGTGAATCGATTCTAAGTAAACAATAGACGACAACTTGCCAATTGTTGTGATGATTTGCTTGAAAGGTCTTGGACCCCCTGCCAGGAATCGTTTATCCAGCCACTAAGTTCGTTACGGAGCCTTTGAGCAGTTTGTTAACTGTACAGATCTGCCTGATCAGGCAACCAATTCTTCCCGAGCAAAGGCACAACGCCTTTAGCCCAGTCAACAAAAACGTAGACAATCGGCACACCCACTTAGTTGCTTAGCACATTTGCGGTCTGTGTTGGCGTGGACACTAATGCCACCCTTTCTCAACGCCATCAGGACCAACTCAGCCGGAATCGAGAGTAAAAGCATGTGGTTCCATTTAAAAGAGCCACGGTCTGCCTGACTTGCCTGGGCTGCCAGGTTTCCTACAAGCCCTTTCTCCCTTGAACTATACCCTGTTCTATGCCTGCGCTTAGGAGCATTGCTCGGATGGTAAACACATCCACTACGGTCTTTTCGCTCCTGAAAACTTGCCGCACTAAATCAGTAGCACGAGGCGAGTTTATTCAGGCCTCCGACGCTGCATGCCCCCCTCTACACAGCCCACCTGAGGCTTGCATGATTCTGTGGAGAGCTGACACTTGGCGTCAACGTGGAGCATCCGAGAAGCCGAGAGAACTGCCAACAACCCAATAGATTGTAGAGATAATATTTGAGAGCTTGGCAAGTGGTACATAAATTGGTGGTTGGTGCAGAGATAAGCGCCCAACTTTCAAGTAGAGATACAAACCAGGTTGGGCACGCGAGGAGGGCGACCGAAGTTTGGTGATTCGTAGATGCTACGAAGGAAACTGGGGCTCTGAGTGCCGTGGATTATCCCTTACATTTAGTTACGCCATGTTTCTAAATACCAGCACTTGGCGAAAATGAACACACAATGTGGCGTGGCAAAGAGTGCCTGTTTATTTAGCTAGAGCGTTTGCCTCGTCATGAAGGCGGCCTATTCCAAGCCTTTCAATGGCCAAGGGATATGACCATATTAATATATGCCATAAGCCATGTTGGTCTTTACTGAGTCGATATGAAGGAAGAGGCTCTCCTGTCTAGTCACCCAGGCAACCATATGCTCAACAGTCAATTCAACGCTGGTCGATCGAGAGACACGACCAAAAGAAAATAAGCAACAGAGATCACTAGACTGTTTCACTTGATCTGCAGGGCGCTCACCAACGCGATGACGGCCAATCTAGCAAATCACGATACACGAGGCGCACCTCTCGTGTAAGACACCCAAGAACACTCCGCCTCTTGGCGTGCGGAGAAGCTAGCACAGCCCGTACGGTCCGTCCCGCCATAGTATATTCAGCTTGATGATCCTCGCATGGATAGCTAGCTCAGGGTCGCCAGTTTTCTTGCTTGTGGTGGGCTGTAGGTTGCAGCTTGGGGAGGCTGAGTGGCCACCTGGCCCAGTTTGAGTTGAGGTGCTTTCGTTTCAGTCAAAACCACGATAGATATGGAAAGTACATCTGCTGCTAAGAAATGGCATGTCAGCTGGGCCATCCGATATGCCCACTAAATTGTAATGAAACCGTCATGTCTCGTTTCCTCACTTGTTGGATCTGAATAGCCGCCGAGTCCATTCTGTATGTCTTACCAAGTCCATTTCATCCCCTGATAGGCAGGAAAGAGGTGATGATATGTGCCACGTTGTCCATGAGAGGAGGTCACGCCAAGATATGCCATTACGAGATGTCCAGCCGCAAAGGACTTGGCACTGCAAAGACATTGGAGGCCTGCGAGGGGCAAGTTGAAGGCGATACGAGACCATATCGCCAGACACTGCCTGTTTCAGACAGTAGCAAAGCTTTATTTAAAGTAGCCATCCCTCCGCTTCTCCAATTACTACCTTCCACACCTCCAACACCAGTCCCTCAACTCCAACTTACCTCTTACACACCAACCCCAATACAACATGTCCGGTACCCTCAAGAATGGCGAGTGGCTCAAGGTCGGCGAGAGCCTTTGGAGTCCAGATGGCTCCGTCGAACTGAAAATGCAAGAGGATGGTAAGCTGGCCATCTACTGGGAAGGGGAGTGCCGGTTTCAGACCACCGACGAGCAACGTGACGACATTGATGGAATTCAAATTCAGGAAGATGGAAACTTTGTTATTTAGTAAGTTTTATACCTTTGAATAGTTTTTTCTGTCTATGATAAGCTAACCGCGTCTTCTAGTGACAACGACGGCAATGCTGTCTGGGCCTCTGACACTGCTGAGCCCACGGGAGACAGCAGCGTCGAGGTTGTTGTCCAAGATGATGGCAATGTAGTCCTGTACAAGAAGACCGCCATCTGGTGCAGTGAGACTCACAAATAAGGGTGGCGCTGTTGAAGAACCAGGGTCGTGGTGGTGACATGGCATCTCTTGGGGGACACATGATGCTTCACGTGGCTTCGCCCGTCACACACTTCTGTCGGACATATGCCTTGTTACTGACTGTTTGGTTATGATTGAATGATAAAACTTGTTCTAAACGCTCGTTTCTTGCTAATGTGTGATGGATATTTGTTCAGCCACTCGGCAGTTCATCTGTGTCTGGTTATGCAGCGATCGTCAAAAGTGTCTAGCAACGATGACAGCCCAAGGAAAAAAAACAATACCTTGATGATTAAGTAGAATTGTCTCATTAATCGTTAGTTGAGACTAGTAGTTCCATTCCATCCCTGCAACTGCCAGGTTCATTCACGATATGCGGTTTCTATCAAGTCCCCAACCTCTACAAAGCTGTGACAGGTGTGCACGATCTTGACATATGCTTCGCGTTCCCTATAACCCTAATATAATCACCCCGGTGCAAATCAAATGCCAACCAAATGGTGTTCAATGACATGCTGAGGCGTAACGGACACGATGCTCTCAGTGGTTTTAGCTAGACCCGGGATATCGATTCACTCAAACCATTTAGCAGCCTGCACGAAAAGCTGGAAATAGCTCACGTAGCCCAGGTTGTTACTAGTGCTGCACGATGAGGGCTCGTTGCAAAAGTTTATATGTCGTCTAGTTAACTGATCGAGACTCACGAGGCTCGGTCTAATCCCCGACAGCAAGACATCGTCCATCTACAGTCAATGCCATATCATCTGATTTAAAGGGAACGTCTTCTTTATTGAGTGACAGTATCAATGGGAAATGTGCTATTTCCCTCATGCTGATGTTGATGCCGCCAAGGAAGCGAGTCAGTAGAACAAATGCAGCAGCAACCTTGGCCACCATTGAAGTCACGACACCGACATTATGGCGAGATAGAGCATACTACAATAGAGGCATATAAACTTTCCTGATGTAAGTCTCCTTGAAAAGTAGCAAGTGAGGCTTGCGGATGTTCCCATCTAGGGATATTTCCACCCGCGATGCATGGCTTCAGATCTATTCTGGATCAAGGTTGACCCGATGTGACTGTGGGATACGGTTCGCTATTGACAGAAACGCCGACCCTAGCAGTCATGCTTATCCGTTCCCTTGAGCTGGAGCCAAGGCCTGTCAGGAGTAACGGTGTGGCGAGCTCGTAACGGAGCAGGGCAGGGATCCTTCAGCCCGCACGTTTTGACATGGATTCGTCGGTGGAAGCACTCGATGCAACGCATCAATCACCCTGGGGTACTGGTAATTGATCATGTTACTCAACCTGATGAAACGTTGACAGCTGTGCCGCCAGCCGTGATGTGACCTGTGATTAAACTGTCACGAGCGCAAATGATGCCCTCTTTAGAAAACGCGCGCACAATCAAGCTTAGTTTAGGGCTTGTCGGTCAAGATCTGGCCGTAACCAACACGCATCCGCAAACGGGATCCAGGGCGGGATCCATCAGGGGCCCATAGACCATCTCATCTCCGTAGCGCAGAGTCAAAACAAAAATGGAAATATCTGATGTGACCTCTTGAGAAAGAGATGAATGACGCCCGCTCGTTCGATCTCGTCTGGCGACGGATCCTTGTAATAACGTGCTTCATTGATAGCCCTTCATAATGACGACCAAATATGGAGCCTGATGACACCGAGAATGATTCGATAGGCTTATCCGTAGCCAAGATTCTCGGCTGTAAAAAATTTGTCTTCCCACTTGGTGCTGATGATTTCAAGCCACGCTCGTATAGCCAGACAGTGGACTGATGGACCCCTGTCGATTCTTGGCCCACGCGAGACCAATAGAGGATGGACTGCGACATTGGGTTTGAAGGGAATGCTGAAGCGAGACATGGGGATTTCTCGTGTACGGAGAAGAGTCCCATGACATCTGCAGCCTTAAGGAGGACGTTTACAGGGAATGGAAGTGGTCGTTTAAGGTTGCTGCGCCAGCATTGGACATGGATGAAGTGGTAGTGGTTCTTAGTGAAAGGTCTAGAAGTGATGATTCATTCATCGCGATCCATCGGAGATTCCACTCCGTGCTAGACGATATCTTGACCCGCTAATGAGCTCTCCACCGACAAAAGGCCTGTCCGAGATTGCATCAGGACGATCTGAGGAGATTCTACAGAGGCTTCTAGCGTAGCAATCGTGCGTGACCAGGCGAGGTGCCAGTGCAGGCTAGACGAGCGCAGCGTTTAACCCTTGCTGAAGGAAGCCTTGATGTTTGCCAATTTACGAAGCCAAGACTTGAGCTAAAGCATGCTTATTTCTTGGCCCTGCGATATCACATCGGTAAGAGCTTTCCATATCAAACACGACCCGACCCATTCACACACCGTCAGCGGTAAATCGGCAGGGCCCGGGAATTGCCTTGTCGATCTGTGCTCCACATGCTGCCGCCTTACCCTTCAAGGGACATGGTTCGCTGGTTCGTATCACCAAGACGCTGGTTTGCATTTGAACAATCATGTTGAAACAGAAACAAAGAGTGCAGCTTTTGCAGCTACTCTTCCAGATTAAGTCTATGCTGTCTGTACCCTTCCGATGCGCCCTGACATAAATAATGATCCGTAATGAGGTCCCTCGCCTTGATGTCTATCCATCCCGCCGCAGAATCCTTGATGCCAAAGCTCAGCCAAATCTCGTCATCCAAAAATCCGTGGTTCCCCGGGAATTCGTCCGTCTTGTTCGCAAAATACACCATGCTCCCTGTCCAGATATACTGCCCATCCACTTCTCCGTGGTACGAGAGCTTTCTGCTCACGCTCACCATGTTGTATGGTGGCGCAGCAGAGTACGCGGCAATCCGTCGATCGTACCATAGATAGCCTGCTTCCCATGTGTCGCGTCGACGTTGAACCATGCCCAGCATAACCGTATTTTGCTCATCCGGTTCGCAATCGCCTCTATTACAAAGCGTGAGGCTGAGCATGGGACTTGACTGATGGACGTTCTTGTCCGAGAGCATAACGTCATGCATACACGTCATCTTCTTATCGCTGTGCCATGTGTCTTCAGGCTTGACACCAATTGGATACGGCGCCTCGACCGCCGAGACTTGGTCCTTTTCGGCCACAACCTCTTCGACCGGCTCGTCGTCTTCCGTCCAGCGGAATAACTGGCCTGGTTCCACCATGAAGAGGAGTTCTTCTTCGTTGCTAAAGGGGGATTGGGCAGGCGCCCAGTTCTTCTCTCGTTGGTATCGGGGATGGGATTCGTGTCCTGATGGAGGCTGGCGACGAAGCCCGACTGGTGTCTTGAATTGAATTGGGGGCATCTTCTTGGCGTATTCTTCTCCCAAGACACGCTCAAGTTCTGGAAGTGCTGCCCGTACGTCGACGATGAATTGCCCTTGGCAGAGCACCTCATCGTTGACTTGATAAGTAAAGATGAGAAGAGGTTCGCCCTTTCTTGTCCAGAACAGCTTCATATCTTCTGGACCAATATACTTGTCCATGTCGGGCTGATGCTGGCAATGGTGTTCTGGCCCAGTAAAGTCTTGTATAAGGAGCTTGGCCCATCTGTTGCTCGACTGTAATACCGGGCGTCCAAGGTTGGTGTATGTAAGGTTGGCAAAGGTGGCAACTTGACGAGCGAGTCTGTACTTGGTACCATTGATAACCTTGTCGACGTGTAGTGTTCGCGCAATGACGAGAAAATCGTGAGCACTGTTGCTTCCACGGGGAAGCTCGAGGAGTGTCGGGTTCATAATCTGGTAGCCCGTCTTCTTGACATCGATCTTGTTGTAGAAGCCCATGCTATTCCGCAGACTCGTCAGTACTCGATAGTCGTTTTCGTAGCCGGGCCGTTTGCGATAAGCACTCAATTCCTCCTCCTGATCCTCGTCCTTATCATTGTCATCGTCATGCCCCACGCCATGCCCAGCATCCGTGGATTGCGACTCATTCTCGTAGAAGAAGGGATGCTCTGGGGCCGTAGCGATGGACAGGCCATCATTATTAAACGTGACCCGGAATACAGTAAAGAGAATAAAGATGCACGTAGTAATCGCAGCCGCCGCGATTACTATGCGCGTCCGGCCATTGTAGGACCGCATAGTGTCACAACAAAGCCGTGATGGTCGAAAGAGTAAACAGCCATGGATATGACGAAGTGCCACGAGCACCAAGGCCCGAATACCCTTTATATTCTCAGCAGGGACCCTTGTTCAAGCTTTTGCCAAGTTTGTTGGTCCTTGCATCATGCCACCATCCGATCTAGCCGGGGCCGTGGGGCCTCGTATAGCAGCAAGCGTATGGAGCCAGGTTGATGGTGTTCGGCTTATGGGCCCGAGATTCTGGGGCGTTTTGGAAACGGGGGCGTAGAGTCTGAGACGGAGGTTAAACGGTGACGTCCAGGTTTGACTTGGGTGTGGTTACTTGATAGGTTGTTGGTGGGCGGTAAATGTCTATGGTATTGGTTATATCGTACTGGGGCTGGTTCAGGAGCATGCCCTTGACAGGAGAACACCCAGTCACAGAAGGCGATGCCAGCCACATACAGAGCGTGATTGGGGGCCTGAGATGCTTCTTGCTCCTCTGCTTCCAAGCAACAAGTTCAAGCACCCAGTCAACGACGGCTGACAGGACGCGTAAGGTTGCACACAAACAGTGACACTCCACTTGCCGCCTTTTCCATGAATGCCGACCCCCCCAACTTTTTAGCGCGCGGCCACTGACTCTGACACTATCAACCAGTTGCCGCCTCGATGAAGTGGCTTCTCGAAACAGCCTGATTTTGGATGTGACACGCAAGAGCTAAGCTGATCTGGGACCTAGCTTGACAGTGATCGTCAATCAAGCCAAGCCAACCGTCATTGCCGGCAGTTGACCTGCAAAAGACGCTTCGGTTATCTCGGAACCATTTGAAACACCAAATTTCTCCCCTAGGCCATAGCCGCCTACAAGGAGCAACGACTGTCCCTGAATGCAGGCATTCTAATTCGTTTCCACCTATGGCATTCAAACTCTGTGGCCCTAGTTTCCAGATAAAGGGGCTGCATCTGCCCATCTGCGATGAGGATCAACGCAGTCCCATGCATTGTCCTCATGAAATATGGATGTTGAGCGATTACATTACGCGTCTGATGGCTCAGGCTCCTCCTTCATTTCTACTGCTATGATCCATTCTCACAATGAGGAGCCGACGTGCCGACCTCGTCCAACTTTGGTGGTTCGTTGCGGGGAAATATTTCCACGGCTATCGCGCATCTCACACGACCACTTGTTCCTGGGACATGTATCGCTTGACCGAGTGCCATATTAGGGCGGCAATGGCATCCGGATCCACGAAGTGAATTCCAAATCACCAGGGCCTATCTCGGCCTCTCAAAAGCGGTGCTGTTTCGCCGAGGACCACTGACTGGCAGTGACTGTTAGTGAGACATCCTTCTGATTGGAGCCCCTTCATTTCCTGTAATTGAGCTTTATCCTTGCACCACCAATAGCCTGGTCTCCGTGGTCGACAGAGATATCAAGGCCAAGAATCTCATTCTCGTTTCCAATAAGTGTAGGCTTCTGTGTTGATCGAGGCGAAAATGCTGAAAAACGTCACCTAATGGCATCTCCCATCAATGTCTTTGCTTAATATCGTTCTGCGTGTCTGGAATAGACAAGGAGTGTGCATATTCGTTGGAGAAGCCTTACGCAGGGGGTATCAACCGACAGACATTGTGCGCTTGCCGACCAAGAATATTCATCTGCCGAGACCTACAATTCCGCACATCGCCTTTGAAAAACAAACAGTCTTGAATTTCCACAGTGACCAGGGGAATTCCATCTGAATGTCTCACCCTTTACCTCCCTTAGATATAAGCATAATGAATCACTGCCAACACCAATAACATCTAGTGAATGGCTGATCATCACCATCTTGGGTGCGAGGAATGGTAGTTCTGTGTCGTACAAGAATGTTTCACACTCGGCACGGCATGTGTTGAGTCACGGTCATCACCCCTCCCTGAATGTTGAGCGTGTCAAGGGGGTTGGTTGGCAGGCCATGATCAGAAGTTGTACAGTGAAGCAATTCAACTTTAGTTCTACATACGCGATAACGAGCAATGGGGTCCAAACAAGAACACCCTGCGGCACTAGACATCATCGTGGTTGGTGCTGGCATCAGTGGGCTGGCCACCGCAATCTCGTGCTCATTGTCAGGCCATCGCGTCACAGTATTCGAGGCTGCAAAAGAGCTTGGCGAGGTGAGATTCGAGAAACCCTCTCCGAGCTAAATCCTCCCATTATTGAACGCTGTTTAGGTCGGTGCAGGCCTGCAGATCACACCGAATGCCTCCTGGATACTCAAAGAATGGGGCGTCCCAGACAGTCTTTGGAAGCTGGCTGCAGAGCCTACGTGTCTTGCCGTACACCGTTACTCTGATGGCAAAATCCTTGCGATGGAGAAAGACTTTGGTAAAAAGATAAGATCTAAATACCGAGCTCCCTTCGTCGCCTTACACCGGGCCGATCTCCACAAGGCCTTGTACGAGCGGTCACACCAGCTGGGGGTAGAAGTCCAGCTCGGGCAAAAGGTCGTGCAGATCGATTTTGACCAAACCATGATTGTTACAGAGTCTGGTTTGACAGCTAAAGCCGACCTCGTAGTGGCTGCCGACGGTCTCTGGTCGCAGTGTCGACAGTGCTTCCTGGGTGTTGAAGAACCACCCCTGCCAACCGGCGATCTGGCGTACAGAATACTCTTGCACCTGGATGATATCGATGATACCCAACTAAGAGAATGGGTTAGTAAGCCTGCGGTTCATTTCTGGATCGGACCAGAAGCGCACGCTGTGGGCTATTCTCTTCGGGCAGGTAACATGTATAATATTGTCCTCTTGGTTCCTGATGACCTGCCTGAGGGAGTCAAACGGCAAACTGCCTCCGTGGACGAAATGAGAGCCTTGTTTAAAGGGTGGGACCCTATTCTTGGAAGGTTCCTGGACATGGTAAAGAAGGTAGACAAGTGGAAGCTAATGCACCGTATGGTCCCTTTCATCATACATCATTGATCACTGTGATACTTATTCTAACGGATTTTTAGGAACCGAGCTCCAAAACTGGGTCAACTATGAGTCGAATCTCGTCTTTGTGCAAGTATCAGGCTACATTAGACCACTTTGAAATGCTAACTCCTTGAAGGGGGGATTCGTGCCACCCAATGCTGCCCTATCTTGCACAAGGGGCCAATTCCGCTATTGAAGATGGCGCAGTTCTTGGGCGCCTCCTCGGCAAGATCAAAAGCAAAGACCAACTTCCGAGCGCTCTGAAGATGTACGAAAGACTTCGGAAAAGCCGAGGGGAGGCCATCGTGAAGGAAGCTTTCAAACAGGTAGGTGCCGTTTATTCCCAGAGCCATTTTGCGTCTAACCAATCGCAGCGCGACGCATTCCACATGAAAGATGGCCCTGGACAGCAAGCTCGCGATGAACTGTTTCTTTCACAGCTGGGGAAAGAGATCCAGGCACCATTTCCGAGCCGCTGGACTTGTCCCAACGTCCAACGTTGGTTGTATGGATACAACATCAACAAGGAGCTGCAAGAAGCAACAAGGAGGGGGTTTTCTAAGCTTTAGCACCTTGCACTCTCATTCTGCGACGCAGTCCAGCCAGGGGCGACTAAGGGGAAGGTATAAGACAACCAGTCAAAACCTTGGTTTGGTCATGCTTAACATTAAGTCTATCAGGTAGCATGGAATATGACTTGGTCTTTTTTTGTCATGAAAGTTCTGATTGGACAGTTTTCAAGATTTCGGGGCATCGCGTTACGGACTTGAAACAGTGCTACCTCGTGTTCGCCTGAACATCACCTTAGGCTTGGCTGACACTGGGCGAGTATCAGAATATCGAGCTAGCCAGCTGAATGATACACGGGGCCATGTCAAGGCGCTCGCCTCCATATTTTAGGGCTTTCTAAAACGCCTTGCTCTAGGAAGATGGAACTGTCTATGCCCAAGTCTCAGAATTGTCTCTTTTCTCATTCTCAAACGGGGATAGTGACTCAGGTTTTGGCACTCCCAAACCCGTTTCACACCTCATACAGTTAACTGAGCGCGTAGTTGAGACCTTGGCCTGTCTCAATATACTGATATTATGCCTGGTATTGCGCGGTTTGATATATAAGCTCTGTCATCTGCTTTCTCCAGGTCAGCCATCAGCTTACTGGCCATCTTTTCTTTAAGTGCAGGTCACATCCTTTTTTAATATCCACTGTAATTCGCATAAGCCCTGGTGGTTCAGTCATCCTACCCAATCTCTACAAAATCCGCCATCTCATTCCAACCCAGTCAAAATGAAGTGGTCTGCTGTCTTCACTCTCGTCATCGTCACCCACGGCTCACTTGCGCGTAAGTCGCTAGAAAGCATGCGTCAGACTAATTACCCTGAACTGACTCTGGCCTTAGTTCCCCAAACACGGTTTCGCGCGGCGAATCCCAATAACGCAGACAATACCAACAACAACGACAACGTTGCCTCGTTCGAAGGCCAAGCATGCACCGATGGCACATTCAATGGATTCTGCGATGATACCGGCCGATGCGGTTTAAACATCCCACCCAACGAATTTTCCAGACAGTTTGTCGCAGACCAATGCGGCTTTGACAACTCTGAAGCGGAGGAGGCGTTTAGAGATTTCTTTGGTGGGAACAACGGCAACGATGATAACAACAACGATGGAGGGAATGGAAACCCGGCTGACTTTGAGGGCCAGGCTTGTACTGATGGCACATTTGACGGTGTCTGTGATGATACCGGGCGATGTGGGTTGGAGATTCCACCGAATGAGTTGTCGAGGCAGTTTGTCGCTGGCCAGTGCGGCTCTTGAGACTCGCCTTCAAGTAGGATAACTGAATAAAGATCCAGATCGAGCAGTCTGTGCAGTAGAATTGTGTGGTGCGTGAGCCTAATGACCTCGTCATCTAACGGCTAGGTACGTGGACGTACGTGATGTTACGGGCAGATCACCACTCAACGTAGAAAGCCTGACTGCCATAGCTGAACAACAGAGGCTAGTTAGGCCTTTTGTGCGCCCAACAGGACCAACGTGCAGCGGCGTTTAGGTTGCGGTGTTTTATGGTATTGGGGTTTAATACTGTCATGTGTTAAAGACTGTGTTTTTTGCTGTTATGGCTGATGACTCCTTGCCATCATTACAGATAATAATAATGACAACAAGAAAATCGCGAAGAGAGCATCTTTGTTTCCTCCCCTAAGATCGAGCAGGAAAAAAAAAAAGGGAACAGTCAAAAAGAGTGGACAACAGTGGAATCAAACCACCTGCATTGGACGAACAGGGAATCGAACCCTGGACCACTCCCAGAGGCGAGTTCTTCGAGGAGAAATTGCTAAGGGAGTATTATACCACTAAACCATTCGCCCGGAACGAGTTGTGATTGGTTGAAAGTCAGGTCTGCAAAGCCGAAACACAAGGCCTTAATGGAAAGACATGGCGTGGACCCAGCCCTCAGCCCTTGATCCCTGCAGGCCTCTACCCTGAATATTCGAGAGCATTCATTGAAAAGGGACAACCCAATTTGTTGAGTGATTGATTGTGCATATATGAGTAACCACAAGTACTACTTTTCACACATAGATATTCGTTTCATCGCGACTGTAAATCTACCTAATAAACAAGCCCCAAGTCTTATCCTCACTTTTCATCTAAAACGTCATCTGAACGCCGCCCTTCTAGTCCTTTTTGTTGTTGACGCTGCTGTTGCTGATTGTAAATCTCATCATGTCAACCAGAGGAATAATTGACCAGCGAGGAATATTCTTCTTTGACTGGCCATCCGTTACGATACTCCACATGCATAGCAGGAGAAACCTGCGGCTGCAACTGACTTTTCACCTCCTCTTTGCACCCCTGGCAAAGAGCCATCTAACTTTTCTACCTAAGTCTCCAAGTCAATACACTCCTCGAAAATCTTCTCAAGCTTCTCCTGGGTCTTCTGCAAGGCCTCCTGTGCATCCTGGAATTCCAGGTCCGCGGCTTGCTTGACCAATGTGGCGATGTCCCATTGACGGTATACCTTGGCAAGAGAACCCTCGCAGTCTGAGGCCCTGATAGAAACCACTGATGGTGTCATCATGTTGTGAAGTTAATTCGGTTGGGGGTTTTACGGTTTTACGGTTTTACTGTAAGGCTGAGGGCATCACATGCACGTTTGTGCCGCAGTAGAAGTGATAGGCTCGGCTAAAATTCTTATAACTTGATTGTACTACTTATTGTGTACTGCTTTAAGCACAATAAACCGCGGTTCGCTGGGTGAATGCGCACTCCATAGTTTTCCCTTGTACCCCACCAAAGCTTAAAGATCTGCGGTCCAGGTAATAGAAGACACAAAGGAGTTCCTGAACCTGGCTTGCTGAGTGCATATTTATAGGCGGAGTGAGCCATGAGAAAAACCAACCGTCTTCGACTGGAGTTCGGAGAACCTCAACTTCGGGTGTTTCTAATCAACATCCACAGACTGACTCTACTTCATTATTTGTGGCCCATTACAGAATCATGGTTCCTTGTCGGGTGTTGAACCCGCGACGACGTGATGGGTCTTCAATTTCAACACCTTTGCCACACCAAATCATTGCCCTCAAGAACACTCTCCTCGCAAATCTCCCTGTGATTGGGAAGCCGATAGCGGATTACAAAAGTCTTGCGGACTCCTCTCTGACTATCATCCTCGTCCCCTCCAATGACGGTTTGATTCGAAATGTTGACCCTGGGTATCTCGACACTAGCTTTTAGCAAGTCGAGGTACTGGCGTTGAGTAAGAATCTCATTTTCACCACATTCAAGATGAAGGATGTCGTGCTCGAAGTGGAGAACCGATAATTCTCTTGCCCAGCGACCCTTGATTATGCCGTTCTGGGAGTACAAGACAGCGCAAGACTTGGGCATACCTTGCCAACTGTCAATCAAGTTTTCGTTGTCTGCTACGAGACTTTCCCCTTGGTTGATGGTGGCCTGCACTCTAGCTTGAACAGCTGGATCTGTGACAAGAGTGCCTCCATAAACAATGACAGGCTGTTTCTCTTGTCTATTGTCCTGATGGAGTCGATATATGGTAGAGGCAAGACAAAAAGTGAGAAGATCAGCGTTCTCGATCTTGTCCATCTCTATCAGGGACTTGGTGAGTTCATAATTGGCCAGATCTTGTAGTAGCCAGGGAAAGCGTTTCTGTTGCACCGCCTCGGCAAGCTTGAGAACAGTGAAGCTGTTGTCGCTTGGCAGTACAAGCGAAAATATTGCCTCCTTTGCACCCTGAGTATGTGTGACAGACTCTTGATTGAAGGAGAGCGAAGTCCCGGGCCAGAAGCCATGCTCGAAAGCCACAGCAGCGGATATCTTGTCGAGGTCCTCAATCAAGACAATCACAGCAGCTTGGCCATCTCCGACGAATCCGTTGAGTGTGTAGTCGTGTAGGGCCTTTTCCTTGCCTCCTGAAGCATTTGTCACTGTGAACAAGTGGTTCAGTTGACCCAGCGACGCCATCAAACTGGTTACATGGTCCGGTGTCAAGGGTTCCTCGGTAGCCCAGAGCTTCGAGTGTCGGAGGACAACGACGTGGGAGATTTTGAGAATGACTAGCTCAGCATGATCGCGCGTGTACTCATTGACCTGCTCAACAAGTTCATCGATAGAAGCACCACTGCCGCCCTGCCAGCCAACTCCAAATTTTTGACCCTCTGGTGTGTAATGACCGCAGTACCAACCACTTTGGGTGCCGCTGAAGGGTCTGTGGAAAGAACCTGGCAGGAAAGCATATGTTGCTCGGATATCCAGATGCCTGACGCCGAGATGGAGTTGGTCTAGAATAGATTTTGTCTGTGTTAGGACGACGTTCTTACCACCTCCAACTGTGCCGAATCTGAGGTGATATGTGCCAGCATCGTGGGCGGATGGGAGGCAAATTTTTGAGAGGATGCGATCTCCGATGAGATGACGATGATTTTGCATCCAACCAGGAGAAGACATGGTGGCAGGGTGGTGGAGTGGTGTGAGGTTATGCTAGGCTGGAAGGACGAGTTTTTCACAAGGGACAGGTGACGCTAATAGTGAGAAAAGCCAGCGCGTCGGAGACTAATTATTTCTATCGTCTTGAGGAATGGAGAAGTTAGGACGGGATCAAGTCTAAAAACACATAGAATAGTGGCCTGAGATGCCTGCCCCTATTCCTCGTTGTCAGCTGATCTCGGTTGCTCAGTGACCACCGAGGCTTCTCTTATCTGATAATTACGTGATTCGGCCTCACGCTTAGTTGATGACAACAACGACTGATGTGTTACAGCTACGTGATATGGGCATCCCAGAGTTGAAACAAATCATGCTGTTCCCTTACCCCGCCTCTTCTTGTACCTAAACAGTCGTACACCTCTAATGAAGGCATTGTTATGGGGCTACTGGGAGAATCTTGACGCTCTCTTGAAGCGCGGTGCGAGTAAGTCCTTGCAATGAGTTGATGAGCATCGTAGAAAGTATTCTTTCTGTAGAAAAGATGGCTCCACGAGAAACATGGATCGCAAATGCATTACGCTCCTTGGTGAAGACAGAAAGAAAGCTGTTATTCCATGCCTGGACGAATCCACATTCCATTAAATTGCTGGGTTCAACATTTCAATCTCTCACAACTCAATATGGCATCCTAAGGAGTCAAAGGACAACCGCTCGATTGATTAGTAGCGATGGGCTACCAAAAAATGTAGCAATGAGCGGCTGGTCACACGGAAAAAGCAACACCCTCAATGTTGCAGGGTTTAACGGGACGCAGAAGGCACTGAAAATCTGTGAACACCTTGGATTTGTGTTGGAGCCTGGTCGGTTCAGCGGCGGGATACCAGAGCAGTTTAATGCCTGCCACGCCGAGAAGTAGTTGGTGTCTACTTTATCCACTAGCACTTAATCTTGTGGAGCGATATTTAGAAGCCAGGGGACCTAGTAGATGATATTCTCCTTTCGAGACTGACTTTGGAGGATTTGCTGAGTACTGAGGAGTGTGGGCGACGGCAAGAGGAGCAAACGCAGAGAGACAAAATAATGGCGTTTGCCACGAAACTACAGGCAAGACGACCAATATGGCCTAAGGTCGCGCTGAAGGGTTGTCTGATCTTGGTCAGCCGCGAGCCCTGCAATGACTGCCAGAACTTTATTGAAAGGGTGAATGAGGCGCCGCGCCTGAGGATCAAACTGCTACACTTGATGGATACGAATTGACCTGTTTTATTGGTGACAGATAGACTAGTCCTTTATGTCAGTATTCATCTCATGAGCATGTATCATCTCCCAAGTCCTTTATGAATCTCTAGTCAATTATACAAGATGCTGCTTACACTTCAACCTCACATGTTTTCATAGCATATTTCCTATCATTCTTATTCTCTATCCCTTGATTCCCTATTCTCTTCCTTTCTTGCGTTCCATATGGCAAGATTACCAAGTCGCACAAGCTCCGCCACGAAGTTGTTCATCTCCTGTAGATACTCAATGTCATCCGCGGTAAGACTTTGCACAGAGGTGTTCTGGAACATTGAGATGGCCGATGCCAAGATACCCAGATCTACCTGCCCGCGAGGATCAATGGGGTGGATTAGGATGTTCATGAACAATGACATGGCCGCAACAGGAGGATAGAAAGCGACACGCCTGTAGTCGGTGTCAGTGTGTCCGGGTCTTGCACGGGAGGGAACGATCAATAGGTAGTCGTACCAGAACGCCTCTTCTTCTAGGAGGTTTATATGGCCCTTGAGCAATGTCAATGTGGAACGGCTGGCTTCCAAAGACAGATCACTGCTGGAGTGGAAGACACTATGAAGATCATCAGGAAGATTTGGAGCTTGAGCATAAGCAGCACCACATCGCCTGACAGCCGTATGAATGGCCGTTACCAAATAGTGGTATTCAAGCTGTAAATGCAAGCATATGATACGTTGCAATGAATCCATTTCTGAATCGAGTAACGGGCCTCCAGATGTGATAGATAGCTTGGGCCGATATTTGACTGGAATGGACGATCGCCAACTTTCAAGGTCAATATCGAGATGGCGAATGTGAAGGAGAATCTGAGTATCATCGATAGTGAATGATTTGGGCGAGTAAAGCAGGCGACATGTCTTCTCCTTGACGTGACTTAAACCAAGGTCTACTGGGAAGTAGGGCGCGAGTCGCCCAAAGGTGCTAGTGCCTTGGCCTGAGGGAGGTTGACAACCATATCGGCTGGCGTATCCTTCAGGGATAGCCAAGTCGCAGTAGTCTTCAGTGAGTAAAGGAGGCTGCCCGGATCGAAGTGATATATCCTTGTCGAAGACATACGACATCCAAAAGAGTGTTCTGATATGTCGGATCTTTCGGTCAGACGCTACGCTGGAGGAATCGCATGTCTCCCGTTGTTTCAAATGCCCACCGAGGCTGCAGACCATGTGGCAAGCAGTTGAGTGGAGTGTAGAAGCGTCCTTCCACTCTCCGATGGATATTTTACAAATTTGCTGTTGAACGATAAGCCATCTTCCACAGGCTTGGTCGACTATGGGAATGCTTACCAACATGAGAGTTGCCTGAAGACCCTCAATGCATGCCTCCCGAGAGACAAGGACCAAAAGAGACCTCGCTTGGTCCACGGGCGGGTCACCTTGAAGGTATTTTGAGGCATCCCTAGGCCTCACTGTCCGCGTTATCATGCAAAGGGCCGCCAGGATGCAGGCCTTGGCTGACACTTGAGAGCGTGTGAAGGATGAGTCGATACGATCTTGATAAGCCATCTCCAGCGTCTCTTGAACCAGGGCTCGATCAAGAACGGGGTAGAAAAGGCTAAATGATGATCTAAAGAAGGCATCGAGGCAGCTCTCAGAATGTTGCCGGCTGGGCAGCTTGTGAAGCTCGTCGTATGAGAGATTGGTTAATGGGAGAGCAGGAAAGTTGCATCCTGAACCAAACATATGAAACCGTTCAAAGTGAGCGTCTTGTCCAGTTTTCAATCGAATCCAATCCCGGCCCCTCTCGGATAGAATGGGTATGCCCTTGTGATACCAGTTCTGTCCAAGGTATCGTGCAACATCCCCAATGTCCCTGGTCTGGGGCTTGGAAGTTGTAGATGTCTCCCAAGGAGAAGGAACAGAAGATGAGAGGGTTTGGGGGCTAGTTTGCCCACCGGGACTGGATGGTGTTATTCCTTGGGCTGAGGTATCTTGTGTTGCCACAGGCGTCATCGATGGCATGGAACGTGGAGAGGTCTGATCCGACAACTGCCCTTGATATTGGATTTGAGATAGAGCATTCTCGAGGTGTACAACACGTCGAAGAAGTTCTTGTACATCACTGACTATGGCTTGTCTGAATGTCATGGCAAACGTAAGTAACCAGTGAGGCCATCGCAAGTCAAATAGCTTACACATTGTTGGACTTTTTCTGTGTCTCTCTATCAAAAGTACAAGAAAGCCCATGGTGACTGCACCATTCACAAGGCTCATCAACGTTTTCTATCACGCATTGGATCTTGTAGTCAGTGTTAGCAAATCTTGGATTGCGTCTTTGCGGGGGTTCCGAGTGAACCTTTCTCTTGTAACAAACATCGCAGGCTCGTTTGGGACGCATTACGAACAGAAGCAGGAGGTACTGAATAGGTTCATACACTAACTTTGATAGTTAGAAAAGCTCGAGGCGTGCCAATTGCTACAGTGCTACGTAAGTTGTGAAAAAGGTCCATCGGAACATCGGACTCCGTGGTGGTTTTAACATGCGGCGCTCTAGCGGAGCACAACAACTTGGTCTAGCCAAACCAGGCCAAGTGCAAGGCCTCGGAGGCCCGGAGTCCGCTTACATAAGGACAATCCAGGATAAAAGTAGTTGTGGCTTTTGACGGAAGAAGCCGGGCTGTTCTCTTTTTCTTTGAACCATGCATGGAAACAACAATTACTTGACAATTTTGACAAAACAAGGCTCGATTCCCAGTTACTCCGAAAAATGCAGCGACCAAACATCCCCAAGTCTCTGATTGTCCTCACCAAGGCCTCCATGAACGACAATGATCTCCTTTCCAGCCCCATTCTTGGCCACGTCAGCATCAAACCATCCCCTCGGAGCGGGACCTTCAGTTCTTGAATCAAGCTTATGCCAGAGATTCTGCTCAATCTCATAGGCCCAACCATCAGAGAACATGTTGCCCGCACCAGCGTGCCCAAGGGGGCTAGGATTTCCTTCCCCAAACACCGTGACCAAGTAGGGCTTGCCCTGGACTGCAATGGGCAACAGAGTCGAGACACTTCGTGGTTCTGGGCCTCTGATGCCATCTGCTTTGTAGTAAATGGTTTTCCAAGTAGAGGTCTCAATGTTGAACACGTCGAGGGAGCCACCTTGTTCCTTCTTGCCATCAAAGCCATTCAGGCGGTAGAGCTTCCCCTCAGAGAATGTGATTGAAGATCCACCTCGCGCTGGACCGGGGGCTTGAGACAGCTCTGTCCAGGTGCTGTCGATGATGTCGAAAGCCCATAGGTCACGTAGTCTTCCCTCTTGAGGGCAACCTGAGTGGACATAGATCTTTCTGACACCATCAGAGGTGATGCAATGGTAGCTCCTCCCAGCTGGGAATGGAGCAGAAGCATCCGAGGGCTGCACCAGTGTCCACTGAGATTTTGATACCTCGTAGCGCCAGAGACCACCATTTTCCTCGATGGGCTTCATCTCCAAGCCCCCACGTCCTGAGAAAAGGTAGATGTCCCCATTGATGACTGTGCTGGGACTACCAACTCGAGGTGGGGGACTATCCTGCTTGGGAGGGAGTGTATGGACACCGTATTCTTTTACAGATTCAAAGATTAGCTCATGAATTGTACATATTCGGTGTTTCGCCTACCTAACTCTCCCCCGACCTTGACAACGTCGATTTTGTTGTCCACGGGCTGCCGAGGCACAAGCTCCCCACCAAAGATGTACATCTTCTCCCCAACCACTGAAACGGCCTGAGATGATCGGTAGAGTCGCACACT